GGCCAGAGTCCCTCCGAGTTTCCCCAGGAAGGAGTCATCTTTCTTTCTGGAAGGGGGCGACTTGGGAGTGGGGGACTTGGGGCTAGAGGGCGACTTCTGCGGGGAGGTGGCCATGGCAGCGGAGCGGGAAGCCGCGGGCCGGTCGCGACGCGGAGCTGGCGCTGGGCGGACGCGGCGGGCGGCGGCTGTGGGACTGAGGCTGCGGCTTTCCAAACGGAAGCGGAATTATTCCAAGCATTTAAGGCAGCTCACGCTCGCCTTTCCCTTCCCTCTCTCCCTCCCTCGCGCCGCCCTCCGCCCTGGAAGGAGCTGCGCGCTCGGGGCCCCTTGGCTGCCTGGAGTGGGAAAGATGCCCCAAATCTGCCCCTTGCAGGACATGCGGCCTTATCTGTTTATGTGTGTGTAACCCTGCCGGCTGGGAGCACTGGAGCCTGGAAGCTCATTTCCCCCAGCTCTGCACTCAGCATAGATCCTGGCACTAATCAGGGGTTCAGTGATTGCCTGCTGAACCGAACCAACTTGCTACTTTTTCTCCCAGTGTCTCCTCCCCAGCTGCTTGTACCTCGGTCTTTCCCTGGATGTCTGCCTATATAGTTCTTAGGCCCATATCGTGTGCCCACCAAACAGAGTGAGCCAGATCCGGGAAGAAACACTTGGAGTGAACCAAAGTTTATAAGCTTCAGGCCCCACCAAACTGGGCACATCCAGCTGCTCCCGCATTTATCGCACAATCGTAACTTGGTTTCATGTCTTGTCAACTTCCTCTTCCTCCTTCCATCCAAGACTGAGAAGTTTAAGGTTCTTAAGTTTCCTTACTCTTCCAAGTCATCCTTGTTTTTAGCAGCACAATGGCTTATCCAAAGAGGGCCCCAATGTTGGTGAAAACATCACTGGGGAGGATACACCAAGGGCTCCTGTGATACCGCCCCCCCCCCCCCGCCAGATCTATCCTGCCTAAATAAGAAGCAACAGAGTGAAACCAGTCTCATTTAGGATAACATGGGAGTCACACAAACCACAGTGTTTCAATGACTTATACTGGAAAAATTTTTAAAGGCACATTTTGTGCTTACCCACCTCAAATAGTCTCAATCAAGAGCTAAGCTAAGAAACTGTTGCCAGAAGTTGAGGCTTGGCTAATAAACCACGCAAAGTCAAGGGGAAAGCGCTCATTTTAACAGCTAGCATACTGACGAGTGAAGACAGTCAGAGAGAAACAAAAAAAATGGAGCAAAGAAGTGAGCTTGAGAAGCCATGTAACCTGAGTAATGGAAACCCATGGAGAGTAGCTGCCTGGACCTTGAATCTCCAGCCTCCGTGGGTAGTTCTCTGAGGACCAGCTGTGCTTCCTTGCCAGGAGGCGTCCCTAAAGCCTTTTAATAACCCATCCCCCCAGCCTGGGCCAGTCCGAAAACTGATGAGCAACAATTCCTGGCTAGAGCAAAAATTCAACAAACAAGATGGTCAACAGGTTCTCAGCAGAGTATATGTTCATTCTGTATTTGCTTGAGAGTCATGATTTTACCTTTTTGAAAATTACATTTCAGCAAGTGCTTCTTACCAACAGAGAGCAGAGAAGTCATGAGGTCTGCTAGAGTTTTCATCCAGGAACAGGGGAGGATTATGGCAATCCTTCTACCCACCCACCCCAGCTTCCTCCCACCTCCCAGAATGAATTTTAAAGAGATGGTGAGAAGCCAAAATCAAATTGTGTTTTGAATACGTCATTAGTCATTCTTGTTCAGCATATTGGATACATGGTGATGTCTCCAGAACCTTCATCTCTAGCCCTGGGAGCACTTGCTAGGGAATCATGAGACATACAGCTCAATAGCTATGTGATCTTGGGCAAGATTACTCTCTGTTCTGAGTTTCTATTTCTTCATCTACAAAATGAAGTGGTTGGACCAGAATGTTGTTCGTGTTGTGCGCCGTAGAGTCAATTCCGACTCATAGCAACCCTATAGGGCAGAGGGGAACTGCCCGATAGGGTTTCCAAGGAGTGGCTGGTGGATTCGAACTGCCAACCTTTTGGTTAGCAGCCTGAGCTCTTAACCAGTTTGCCACCAAGACTCTTGGACCAGAATAGTGGTTCTCAAACTTGATGGTGCATTATAATCCCTTAAAGAGTTTGTTACAAACATTCACAGGTCCCATCTCCAGAGATTCTGGTTCAGTAGATCTGAGGTGAGACCAAGGGATAGATAGTTTTAAACAGAGATTACATTAGATGATTTTGACATAGCTGCTGCACACACTGCTGTTTGGGAACCTAGGACCACTTTCAGCTCTAACATTCTGTAATTCCCTATCCTTCGTCAATTGCAGGGCTTAGGTCCTCAATATGGCCTCGTCAATATTACCCTTAAATTGCCCATGCATGCTTTTGCATATACAACCTTCTTCAGTAATTTTTATGCACACTAGAAGTCTGAAAACCTCTGGGCAAGACTAAAGGGAGGAACAAATGGAAAGTCTTGATTGTTGAATGCCGGCTCCCAGAAGATACCAGCAAAATAAGCTAAGATTAAGGCAAAGCTGAGTTTATTGTGCACTATGGCAAAGGAGAGCACTACTTTGGCAGAGTCTTAGTAGCGTCTTGGAGTGGAGGAAAGCAAAGTGAAAATATTCGTGGGGTTTTTGAGTCTAAGGCAGGTCTTTTAGTAAGGTGGTGCTTGTTCAGGATTGGCTAAGGATGGTGATGTGACAGGCTAGGATTGGTGGACAGAACAAAGTGAGGCTTTCAAAGAGTCTTGGAGAGAAAACAAGTATTTTTAACGCTATTTATTGAAAAATTGAGGAGCCCTGGTGGTGCAGTGGTTAAGCACTTGGCTGCTAACCGAAAGGTCATCAGTTTGAACCCACCAGCCACTCTGCAGGAGAAAGATGTGGCTGTCTGTTTCTGTAAAAATATACAGCCTTGGAAACCCTATGGGGCAGTTCTACTCTGTCCTTACAGGGTTGCTATGAGTTGGTATTGACTCTATGGCAATGAGTTTTTTTTTTTTTAATTGAAAGGTTTAAGGGTATTATGTTTGTCTCAATGGGATTTGGTGGAGGAGAAGTTCTTGAGTAATAAAGTTATTTGCAACCTTTATCTAACTGGGCAAGAGTTTTTTGGAATAGTAAAGGAGCCCTTGTGGTGTAGTGGTTAATAGCTTGGCTGCTAACCTAAGGGTCAGCAGTTCAAATCCACCAGCCGCTCCTTGGAAATCCTATGGGGCACTTCTACTCTGTCCTGTAGGGTTGCTATGAGTCAGAACCGACTGGACTGCACTTAACAACAACAAAAGCTATGTTTATGAAGACAATGTAACAGTAAATTCCTCTTAATGTAGATAGTAACCTGTATGGCTGTGAATGGTTTCTTAGTATTCAAAACTTTCTGCCTCTAAGATAATTACCAATCTTTCTTGAAAGGCCAGTAAGGAATGGCTGATGAATTATAAATCAGTGCTACACAAAGTATAATGCAAAATGTTATTGGTCTGCAATGATCTAAGTATAGAAATTGAGAGTGTTTAAAACAGTTCATAGCGATTTAACAATTCAATGTCTCTTTAATAAAATTTGGGGCTTATATTTTGAATGTCTTTTCATTTTATTTTTCTAGGAATTTGCTTTTTTACTTTCCAAAAATATTGGTCTGTGGTAGATTGGTCGTTCCCCATAGAGTGTCTGAGAAGCGCTATTCTAAATTGCTCCTGTTTGCTTACAGAGTTTACATATTCTCTTTTGATATTATGCTTTTATAATCCGTATGGAAGGTTAATAGATCTGTTTTTCATTCAGATGATTAAATGAGATAATATATGTGAAAGCACCTTGCACAAGGCCTGATACTGAACTAGAGTGAATCTAAATCTTGCTTAATCAGAGACACATGCACGTTGTCCTTTGATAAAATGCAGAGAGGAAACTGCACGGGCTCCCGCCAATCTAAATTGGGATTTACAACTATGGCCCCACTGAACAGCTGCCTCTCTCATGCTTGCTGATTGGTCTCATCTTACCCAAGGATTAGATTATAAAGACAGATAACAAATTAAATGTGTGCTGTCGTGAGACTGCTGATTCTTTAGATCAGCCTGTCCTTGAACTCTAGGCCTAGACACACTGCACAAGGAGAGAAGAAACCCAGGCGCCAGCCCTGGCTCAGTAGCTGGGTGACCTTGGACAAATCTATTCCCGTTCTGTGCTTTCATTTCTATCATCTGTAAAACGAAGCCAAGGCAGTACCTACAGAAGTCGGACATCACATATACCTTAAGACCAACAATTCCAATTCTAGGTTTATACCCAACAAAAATGAGTACATTTGTGCACCAGAATATATGTGCTAGAAAGTGGACACGAAGTTCCAAGCTTTTGGTTAGCAACTGAGCACATTAACTATTTGCCCTACCCAGGGAGTCCCACTCTAACCTAAGGATAGCATATTTGATCCTTAGAATCTGTTTTCTCAAATATCCATAGTCCTACAATTGCCGATTTTTAGCCAGGATTATGGTCCCTCAGAATAAAGGCTATTTTTCCTAGATGTGTGCAGTCACATGACTAGACTCTGGCCAATGAGATGTAGGCAAAAGTGTTAGGGGTTAGCTTCCAGGAACCCTCCAAAAAAGACAGATGGGAAATGGATACCCGGCTTCTTGTAATATCAGACTATATAATAGAGGTCAGCCTTCCCACAGAGAACAACTGGAAAAGATGGACAAAATATTCTGCTTGAGAGCATTGGAGAGCTAACAAAATTTACAGAGCCTTTGGAGAAGCAGGAACCACAGAGAGGTGAGCCCATCAGTTGGGACCACTTTTCCTCAAGGGGGACCTGCCACTTTCAGACGGGGCAGCTGAGGAGCTGAGAAGTTCAGCAGGGCATTGCCAGCCTCACCAGCCTAAGTGGACAAATGTCCAGGAGCTGGGGGAAAGAGAGAGGGCAGTAAACTCCCCTTGCTTTGGTTTGGGACTCCAAAAGACCCACTCTGGTAGACTGAGAAGACAAAGACCTTTGCAGTACAAAATCATAACTGAGAAAAATTATTAGTAGTAGACCTGAACAAAAACAACAGCAAATACTAAAGAGTGTAGTAGAAGGAAAATGATCTCACAGGGAAGCTTGATGACACAGGAAGGCATAAAAAGAAAAAAAAGGGGAGAGGGGAGGTAAATATATGGGTAAATAGAAAAGAATGTTGACTATATAAAAAACAATAATAATGTCTTATAGGATTTAGAAACTATAAATCAAATTATACAAAAGCAAAGGCATTCAATCAGGAAGTAAGTAAATGGAGTTAAGTGTTTTAAGGTCCAGGCATTGTCTGGGAAGAAGTAAAAGTAACAATTTATATTGGACTTTGATAAGTAAAGGATTCATGTTGCAATCTCTAGGGGAACCATTAAAAGAATAGTAAAAGAGTAACTATAACTGCCAAGATAATGGGGAGAAAATTGGAGTCTGTGTGCTTTGTTCACAGATTTCATAAATTACATATGTAACTAGATCTGTCATATTTAAGGTGACTTTTCTTTTGCTTTTTGTTTTGTTTTTATTTTCCTTTGTTATTTTGGTGTTGTATCATATAAGGTTAACAACCCAGGATAGAGGTAAACGATGCATCCCAAATCTGACTAAGCCAAAACTCAAACTGAAAGAGGCTTTCATTCGGGAAACGTTTTAACTCTCCCAAATGCGAATACCATCCAAGGGACAAAATGGAAGGCCCTGGCAGGTCATGAGGAGGGTTTTACAAAGGCACTGGATCCCAATCAGTAATACGAGTTCTTTTAGTCTATCAGAGCAGAAGGGGAAGGAGAGAAGGCAGCTAGAGCCTCTTGGGGACCAATCTGATCACTGAAAATAAGGCGTGCTTTACTCTCAGGATAAAAGGAATGTGCAAGAGATTAAATGACCTGTGGAGTGAGGGTCTTAAGTGAGATGCCTCATGGGCAGTACATGTTGGGAATGCTGGGGTATTAGCAGTGGCCTTAGAAGGCCAGGCTTCCAGTGAGCATGCCCTCTAGAAGCCCCACTTGCCTGCACAAAGTTGGCTCAGATAGCAGGAGCTGGATGGAGGAGTGCGGGCTTTCTCTTGGTGGACAGGGAGTGCTGCATCAGGGCTGGAGGAAGCTGGAAGACTTCATTCAGCCTTAGTTTGTGACAGGGTAGACTTCAAGTAGGGATGTTTTTGAGCTCACACAGAATGATGTCACTCAGATGGCCTCTAATCCAGCTATAGGGGAATTTATCTCAAGTTCTTTGCTTACCTACCCTTCAGGAGTTTGGTAGTGAGTGGTAAACATTGGTCAAGGGATTTCCTCCCTCAGCATGATAGCTGAGTGCCAACTGCAGAGGGGAAGCCCCCAAATCAGTAGCTCCTACCTGAGTGATCTGTAGAGGAATGGAGAAGTCACCAAGGGAAAAGCAGGCCCCAAAGGAGCAAGAGTGAGCCACTTCAGACCCAGCTAGGCAAGGGAGAAGACCTGGGGTCTCTGTAATTCTGTTGGGTGTTTGGGCCATGTCAAAGGCCACTGAGATGATACCCAAGGTCTGGATTTTCCTCTCCCCTCCCCATTTCTATGTGTGATCTGGGGAGCGAGGTCATTTGTGTTACTGTTATCAATCACCTTCCTCCCACACCTCACCTGCAGACTTGGTGGCCTGGAGGAGCAGGAGTATCTGTTTCTGTCTTTGCTGGGAAAGATATTAAAGCTATCCATACTTTAGAAGTTTCCTTCTAGGGAGGAATGTCAGAAATGTTGTATCTAACGGTGAGACGGAGCCAAATCATCACAGTCAGATGGGGTCTTCAGGACACTCTAAAGGGTGTAATCAAGGAACTGTTGGCCAAAGGAGTGTGCAAGAGGCTGGGCATTTGGTCAATAGAAGCCATTTCAGAGAGAAGGTTCTAGAAGGGATTCCACACAGTCAGACGAGGTCAGAGAGGTGGCAATGTTCTGAGAAGCATGTTTCACAGTCTAGTTTACTGTTTATATCTCCTCTGTAGAAACTGCCCATTCTTACCTTTTGGGCTGCATTTTGAAGTATTGTTTTCCTTTTCTACTGTCGGAATTTGAATGGCTGAAGATTCACCATTCCAATTATGAAAGGTACATTCTGTTGTTTTGTGCCGCCAAGTCAGTTCTGACTCATAGCGACCCTATAGGACAGAGTAGAACTGCCCCTACATAATGATGATACTCTCTTGAGCTATTGATCTGTTTTCAAACTACACACTATGGATATATATCTATATCACACACACACACACATACACATCTCCTCAAATTTATTATGGAAACATTCTTATTATTCAGAAGGTGAGAAGGATGCTGAATTCATGTGCCACTGATATATTCGGAGCTGCTGTCCCAGTATCAGGCTACTTATTTGCTTTGTTTCACATAGGACCATGCAGACAGTTTTCCAGAGACTGTTACCCTGCTCCCTCTACATCCCTCTCCCATCTCTGCCTAGTCTCCCTAAGGGCCTGCAAAAACCACCTCACTCTCATCTGGCCCCCCAAAAGCTCCCTCAGTCCCCCTCCTCTCTCATCCTCGGACCCTGTGCTCTTGGTTCCCCCCTTGGAACTGGGGTTTTGTTCATGTGGTGTCATGCTTCTTGATTTGGGGCAAAAAATTCCCTGGGAAGGGATCCATGGCAGTGTTTTAGGGGTACTTAATCACTCAGGAGAAACAAGATGCATCTTCCTAGAGTATTATGTTTGTTGAAAGATTATTAGGTGAACTGGGGGAGGCTAGATAATTTTCATGTTAGAGGGTATATGCAGATGTAGTATAGAAGGAAACACAAAACACCACACTCAAGGTGACAGCTTTGGTTTATATTCCCAGATTTCCCGAGTAGGAATGGGCACTGGCATGTTAGGGGAAGGATGGCTATGGGAACAGAGCTAGGAAAAAAGGAAGGGGACAGGTAAGCACAAGGTGAGGCCCAGCAGCATGGTGGACCAGGGCCCAGCAGGCCAACATGAGATCCAACCCATTTCACTACCGTAAGTAAGTTACTCAGCCTCTTTGGGTGTCAGTTTTGTCATCTAAAAATAGGGATAATGTTTAACTTAAGATTTTTGCTTTCAGGATTAAATGGGATAATTCACTTTCAGAGCCCCTGGCATGTGAGGAAAGCTGAATTCACAGTGTCTGGTTACTGTTATCAGGGTCAGAGAGGCTTCTCAGGGAGCTGGGATGGCATGGCTTTGCTCTTATTATTTCTAGAAATGAGCATGGACAGGGCATGAGCAGGAAATTACCAAGTACGCATTGAAGGCTTAGGGATGGTGAGCTGTAGCTGACTGGTGGAGAAAGGCGGAGAGTCTGTGGCTCTGTGGTCAGGAGGAGGGCAGATGAGTCTCAGTGTGGGCCCAAGGAAAACCTGCAAAGCACAGAAGCACCCGTTGAAGGTGGCCAGATGTTCCTTAGAGCTCTTTGCTCGGCATGTTAGCACCTGCAGAACAGGAGCTCTTACCTGCAGCTATACACGTTTTTATTGATATTAAATGGAAAAATAAATCATTACAAATATTTGATCAGTAGACAAAAGCTTTCAAACAGTAGGATGAATTTAGTGTAAAATTATGGGAACTTTCTGGGACTGACCACTTGATGGCAATTCTGCAATATTATGCACTCACATTTATAACTTTGCACATCCTGGGGGTAAGATAGAAAAAAAATAGTAACTTATTCCTGAAACAGTGTGAGTTAAAGGAGGAGATGCCAGTTCTGTGCCGAAGGGAGCATCCCTATTGAGTGAAGGAATAAGAAACCAGGCTCAGGTGGGAAGGCAAGAGAAACGAGGAGGGCTTCGACCAGGGCAGGCTCCACCCCTCCCCTTCCTCATCCCTGCAAATAGCCGCCTTTGTTGAAAAAATACACCTGAGGTGAGTCGTCTTAGCTCCTCCTCCATTTGCACACAATTTGCGGGCCAGGTAAGTCCCACCAGGTGCTCCAGTGGGCATAAAACGTCCAACGTTAATTTAGACTCCCACATGAAACCAAAGCTTTGCCCAAGCCCTTTCTCTCAGAAGAATGAAAAATGAAATGGTTGCTGCCCTCAGAGGTGCCAGACCAAGCCCACATGAAAATGTTTTGATTCCTGAGACACAAAACCATTTATTTTTGGTTCATTTCAGCATTTGTAGCAGTGCACATACAACACATTTCAATCCCCATGAATAGTTCCCAAATGTGGCAGCAAATTAATCTTTTACAAGCTACTCAGCAGTGAGGCTCCAAGATAAACAGTAGGTGAAATTGTACACTTTCCTCTGTATGTGAACCTTTTTATTACAATAAAATCCTACATCTGAGCTCACCACATCCAATGGCTGCAGCTCCCTCTGTTCGTGTGGTGGCCCCAGTTCCCCCCTGCCACCTCTGCCCTGCTGAGGCAGCTCTCAGATCAACCACCTGGGTGGGGCATGCTGCCATTTTCAGTTTGAAAGGAAAAACCTGTAAATCTGCTTCCTGGGAAGAGGGATGTTGCTGAATTGTCATTTGCCTCCAGAATACAGAAAACATCAATTTCATTGCAGCTCATCAGAGTTGGAAACACCTGCCACTTGCTTTCTCAATTGCAATTAACATGCTGCATCTCAGCATTGATTGATTCCAAGCAGCCTAACACTGCTAAAGTCAAGGTTTAAATGAAACAGTACAACCTAATATTTTTCACCGTTTTAGAAACACGAACTTCTCTTTATTGTCAACGGAGCACTACAATAGTTAGGAATATAAGTCTTTATGCTTGAGAAAAATGTTGAATGGGTTGACGCTTATAATAAAAGTAGTTCTTTGTATTTATTTGGGAGAGTGGAGTGGAGGGCTAATATTCTTTCTGTGTCCCAACACCTAGCACACGGCTACAGAACCACATGGGCATTCAGAGAATGTTTGTTGAACAAATAGATCAGTGAAGGAATGGTTTGGGAGAGCACGCTTAAGAACTGTTCTTTGGGTTCAACTTATGTAAAATTCTAAACTTACAACTACTCTAAGCCCTTTGCTTTAACTCAGAAGTTGTGTGAGAATGACTATGAAATATGACCTAATGCTGGAGCTCTATGTCCCATTCAGAGTCCTAAGTTCTTCAGCCATACTCTCATTCACATTCTTTTAGGGGGCAGTCCATTTTCATCATACTACTCATATTGCATCAAAGAGACTGTCTTCAAAATGTACAATAGTTTGCATTTTGAGGGTCTTAGAACATTTTCTATTGTGAATAAGGGATGGAATCATTTTAAATAGCTCTAAAGCCACAATACTTGTTTCCTTTGGGAAACGGTCATTGAAATGGTTTTTACGTACTGGTAAAACAGAAAGCAGTATAAACAGAAGACTGTAAGTATGAGGTTTGTGTTTCACTGTGGCCAGATAAGACTGAGCCTTAAACCACAGAGGAGTCTTTGGAAGAGAAAGTGAACACATTGCTTCTCTCATCTATTAACAGAATACTAGGGCCAAGAACCACCTTCTTTCTTGGCCCTCTAGAGAGAATCTTCCTTTCATGTGGAAGCAGAACAAATTAAAATAAGTGGCAATTAATTCTTTTGCACAATAACAACCCAGACACTATGCATCTGAGCATCAACCGTTATATGTATGCAGCATCAGATGGTACACTTTATGTAACTGACAGAAAAGGCTGGGCTTGAATAATTCTGAATATTCTAGAAAGAAAACTGAAGTTATATCTCCTTCTTAAAGTGGGTTAACATTCCTGTGCACCCATAACCTTTCCCTCAATGCCTGATGGTTGAAAATATTCTTTTGACTATCTCCAAAAATCTTTAATACTATACAACTCACTCCCCCACACGTCTGGGTTATTTGTATATTAAATAGCTTATATACCAATATCTGAGTGCTAATACATCTTCTCCAAATTATAACACAGGAAAACCACAATTAGGAGGAAATCATATTAGCAATTTGCATCAAACATACAAATAAATAAAAATAGATAAATAGCCAGAAATGGTACAGGTATATATATTCCCTAATAAGAAGAATCAGGCACTAGAAGACCTGATTCTTAAAAAGAGAGAGAAGAGAAGAAGAAGGAAGGCGAAAAGAGCTCCAACCTTCAGAACTTGGTAAACCATGGGAAGGTTGCATTTAAATACCACCCAGACCATGGCTGACTTAGGGGAAAACCAGTTATGCTTCTGATTTCCAGCTTGCTAGTGTGTATAGCCAGCATCTCAGACAGAAGTGGTGCAGGGGTAAACTTACGTTGAGGAAAGTTGGGTCTCAAGTCGGAGCCAACCATTAGAAAGCACCTTGTGTCTAATGACGCATTAAATACTTGCAGAAATGAGAGCGGTCAAATACATAAGTTCTTCAGTCTCTCTCTTGACAAGACCAAATTGAATCTTCAAATAATCCCGTTCGGGGGAACACGATCAAATACTTTACGACAATAGGTCACCATTTTAAATCTTCTCTTCTGTGGTCTTCAGATAGAACCATCAAAACATCCCAGAATGTCCAACATGTCAGTGCACAAACTCCATTTCCCTGTTTTCTTTTCACATTAAAAATGCTATTAAAAATAAAAAATAAAAAACATGACCTAATTTGGAATTTGGTAAATGGGGTCACTGCACTCGGCTCCACCTTGAAGTCAGAAGTGGTTTTGTCCTCGTTCCGTCCAGTTCCCGGGCAGTCCCTGCAGACAATATCAGGCACTTCTCCTCCGTTGGGGCCTCAGAAGGCCACGTCTAAGCAACAGTCCTCGCTTTGTACCACTAGTGTGTTCGTTTTTAGTAGCAGCATCAACCTCACCAATGTTTTATCAATGAACGGGAAGAACTTCCCTTTTCATGTCACCAACAGTTACAGAAAAGCATTTCAAACTTATGCATTTTCTAAAAATGCTTTTCATTCTGTTCCAGGGGCCATAAGCAGAGTGCTTATGGGAACAAAAAGCATTTCTAGGTCAACAGTTTTTGGAAGTTTTTTTTTCTCCCTTTCCTCTTTTTGTTTCTTTTTTAAAAGTAAAATTAAGGCTCAAATGTTCTATTAAACTCTCATTGCTTATGTATATTATATTAAGGCTTATAAGTACGCCTGGTAAATTAAATTCATGAATTGAATACCCTGGATTGAATTAACACCTGCTATATGAGTTATTTGCTTTATGTAATCAGTAATCTCAAGATTTCTTCTCTTTCTCTGGAAACACAATTTAAATATTAACCTAATCTTTAAACTGCTGCTGCTTCTTGCTGACATTTGGAAACCGGTCATCCACGCAAAAAAGGCAAATATGGATATATTTATGAAAAAGAGGCTTCTTGAAAATCTTAAGATGTGTAACTCAATGAATTGGGCAAAAAATTACACAAGCAGCAGGACAGTCAAGTCTCTGTGTCACTTTCCAGGGAAAACAATGCTGGTCAGCTGCCAAGGACACTTTCAATTTGAGAGGCCTGCTGACTTGGTTGCCAGTTTCAAAACAGTCTTTGTATTTTCTTCATTAAAATCTCTGGAGGATCTTGGGCAGCAGTAGCACATATAAGAGCATTTTAATTTCTTTAAAAAAATTGCAGTAGGGTATAATTTAAATTCTAGGTATGCTAAACCCTGCAAAAGGAACTATGAGAGTGTGAGGTATGCTTGGCCTGATCCGCCAGTCCTCAGCTTGCTGAGAGGGACAAGGGTTGTGGGTGTGCTCATGTCCTGCTCTGCTGGCAGCCCCTGGAGAATATGAAGCTTTCAAAGTGCTGGTCTTCAGCTTTTTCTCTGATGCGTTGTTCCTCTAAGGAATCTACAAGTTTGTCCCTTTGCTCAATCACTTGCATCATCTTGGTGAGTATTTGCTGCTCCTCGTTTAGATCATTCTCATCTTTCTGGCTCTCTGAAGAAAAAAAAAAAAAAAAAAATTGGACCTCAAGTTAGATTGCCCCAGGAGAGTTCTTGGCACAGCTTTCTTGATTGTTATGGACTTGTTCTGCCCTTTAATTTCAGTGAAGAAAACAAGGAAATGAATTTAACACCAAGGAACTGCCCTAAAAGCCACAGATTAGAAAGGGGGGTGCTTTGTGCTCCAGTCAACTCAGTTATCATCTTGAGAATATATAGAAAGCAACAGGGCAAAAAACCTTTGTGCAGAAAAGAAGCTAATACCAGTCAAGACCTCCCAAGCCCCTAACCTCCACCCTCCCATCCCTCCCCATCCCTAAAAAAGAAACCAGTAACACAATGAAAGGGCTGTTTTCCATAAACATATATGAGCCACAGCAAGGAAATCTGTAGTAAACGTTTCTAAGTAAACAATCTGCATCAGTGGTTACTATTTCAATGAGATTCCTTTGTTCATTTGTAGTTAATGAGTAGAAACCACACAGAAGCAAAGTGAGGCTATGGCTGTCCAATAGGGTATCCAGACTGTGCCCAGACTGTGACTACGCTTTGCTTTTCTGGGTACATCTTCCTAGTTGGCCTTAGGCATTCAATTGCCTGGGGGAAATGGGATTGGTATAAAAGGAAGGAAAAGAGTAAGAAACAGGAAATAATGAATTCTGACACTCAAGATAGGATTTTAAAGCCAGATTTAAGCTGTGTAAACCAGATTATTACTTTGGGAGAGGACTCCCTAAATTCCTTGAGTCCTTCTCATTTAACAAACCAAGAACCAGGCAATGAACCAGTTGATAGGGGAGAGAAGATGCCACTGTCTGTCATCGGGCTGCGCTCTGAGGCTGGAGTCAGGAAGAAGAAAGTAGATATGATGGGAAGGAAGTAAAAGGAGCACCAATCCCTTTGTTCCTCATGCGTTGTGGGGGCGACAGGCAGGAGAGGTAGACAGTGAGAGCCTGTGCTTCAGTCTGTCCATTCATTCTCTCCACTCTCCCAGAAAGGGCCACCAGCTGCCTTTGAGTCAGCTCCGATTCACGGTGACCCCACACGTATTAGAGTAGAATTGTGCTCCATAGGGTTTTCAATGGCTGGTTTTTCAGAAGTAGATTGCCAGGATTTTCTTCCAAGGTGCCTCTGGATGGACTTGAACTTCCAACCTTTTGGTTAGCAGCTGAACACTTTAACCATTTGTGCCACCCAGGGACTCCCCAAGAGGGGCAGGAAATGTATTTTATCATTTGACAGGAACACTGGGGCTAAGGTGCTCTTGCTCTGTCCCTTGTTTAGAACTCTAGGAAGAAGCCACCTCAAAGGGTGCCTGTATGTATAAACATGGTGGCAGCACCTCATGTTGGGCAGAGAGGAAGGGCCTGAGTGTGGCTCTCCAGATCCCCATCTTCTCTGTGTGGCACGGATGGAGACTAGAAATGCCCACTTGCCCCAAATGGGGGCTTCCAAAGTCAGCTAGACAGTGGGTTCCCCCAGGATGATGAGTGAGATGACCCCACAGTAGAGACTAGATGGAAGACAGTCTGACCAAGCTCAACGGAGGATGCATACGGTGAGGCCAAGTGAGCCAGGGAATACCACCAGGCTCCACACAAGTCAGAACAGGCTATAAATTACCCCAGCCACGCACCTTAGCTGCAAATGTCAGCAGAGAGAGGGACAACCCGATGGATGGGAGACAGCTGAGTGTGGACTCAAAGTGTCAGAGCATACCACCCAGATTCCTAACACCGCAAGGTCACACGAACCTGCCTCTTCCCATTACCAGGAAATCACCTTAGGGAGAAATGCAGAAGGAAGGGGCAGCCATCTGCAAGGTTTAACATTTTTATCCCAAGGAGACTGAGCATCTCCTACAGGGGTTATTTAAATTATTGCATCAGACTAAGTTTACCAGAGAGGGATAAATAAAGTTCTTTCTTTTTTTCCCTTGGTAACGAGCAGGAGGACGCTTACATGCAAGGTGAACTCAGGTACCGGCAAAATGAAGATGCTACATTTTCTTTGTGGATCTGAGAAGAGTGAGAAAAGTTATGACCTGCACTCCTTAGTAAGGCTATCTTTAAAAAAAAAAAAAAAAAATCAATGGTAGCGAATGGATTTTTTGGTGGTAATTATTTCACCATTCTGCAAAAGGGCAAATTAAAACATTTATTGGATAAATTAGGTATTAGTTATACACTGTGGTTTGCAAATTTAGGTATATTCCAGTATTGGCACTCCTTATTTGGTAAACAACACTGACAAGTAAAAAAAAGAAAAAATTCTTCTCTCAGTTTGGACTGGTCATAGATGGACCCATCTGAGCCCCTTCCAACAAATAAAAGATCATGCATGCGTATCACTTTTATCTGTTACATGCATTATGACACTATAAAGATTTTATTAGAAATAGAATTATGATAATATAAAAAAATAATTTAGTTTAATTTGTAAAGAATGTCTGCCTTGAGCATTATTCTCTTTTAAGAATCTCTATACGGGATCAAATTGACAACAGCAACTCAAATGATTAGATAGGAAGCTTAGGGGGCAGTGAGTTTATTTAGTGAGGGAGGAACAACTCAGAAAAGCAGGGTGAAAATGGTTGCACAACTTAAAGAATGTAATTAATGTCACTGAACTGTACATGTAGAAATTGTTGAATTGGTGTATGATCTGCTGTGTATATTCTCAACAATAACAAAAAAAATTATTATTAAAAAACGATAAACAGTCTGCAAATTATTACTGTATGAGAAAGAACAGGAGACTGAGTCAGTAATCTGTTCTTAAATCTTAGCTCTTCCATTTACCTTGAGCATGTTATTTAAGCTCCCCAAGACTCAGTTTTCTAATCCATAAAATGGGGAAAAAATTGTTGTTGTGTGTTGTCAAGTCAATTCAGACTCATAGCAACCCTATATGATAGAGTAGAATTGTCCCGTAGGGTTTCCTAGGCTGTACTCTCTACCCAAGCAGATCACCAGGTCTTTTCTCCTGTGGAGCCACTGGCGGGTTTGAACTGCCAACCTTGTAGTTAGAAGCCAAGCACCTAACTATTGCCCATCGGGGCTCCTTTACGTACTGTGCATTCGGCAACGTCAAAAGGTAGGTGCAGAAGGCACGTCTACAAACATCAGAACCCCTCTCTTCCAGATATATTTCCAGTCCAAGGACACCGGCTAGTTCTGAAATTCAGTCACTTTTTTCCATTAGTATCTTCCTTTATTTCCTCTGGGCATGGAGAATTTGGAAGGACCCCATTCCAAGCCCACTAGCCACCCCTCTTGTTTCCCTGAATCCCCAAACTTCTGAAGATGTTTGAAGTCACAGAGACCTTCAGAAAGCCTGTGTTGTATTGTAATATTTTATGAAGAAGGAAAGAAAAATCCTGAATATTGTATTTTACATCTCAACTGAAATAGTCCACGTCAAAGAAACTACCTATGCCATAAAAAAACAAAACTAAACCCATTGCATTGAGCCAATTTAAACTCATAGCAACTCTACAGGACAGAGTAGAACTACCCCATACGGTTTCCAAGGAGTGGCTGGTGGATTTGAACTGCTGACCTTTTGGTTAGCAGCCAAACTCTTAACCACTGTGCCACCAAGGCTCCATATAAAAATCTTCCCCCACGCATTTCTTTAAGAAGTATGTTTACCTTGAACATTTAACCAATAAATAGATAAATAAAGCTATTATTATAAGGTTAAAAAAAAAAAAAGATAAAAAAGGTAGGTGTAACTTTTAGGTCCACAAGGTGAAAAGAAATTATTTAACTTGTACTTTTAGACTTAGGTCTAAATGTCAGAAAGTCATACATGGATCTGGCCCCACAAATACAGGGCACAAAACAGAGTAGATATGCCTAGTTTTCTATATCCAGTGAATGCTTAAATTAGTATGTTGTGTCAGTTGAATTTATTTCAACTCTCCCTCCTCCATGGTGGAATCATTTTCTCATAAGTGATACCCTGGCCCAGCCCTGCTGGGAGGGAATGTTCCCTTGACCATTTCTAGTAAGGTTACCTTCCTGCGTGTTCCCAAAGCACCTCTGTTGTGGCCCTCCTCACACTATGCTATAATTACTTGTCTGGTATTGGTCACCCATGTGAAACCACAAACTCCTGGAGGGAGGGGTTTCTCTTCACTGTATGCCAGGCACATACTAAGCGCTCAGTAAGTGTCTGTTAAATGAATAGATGGATGAGTGAATGCGTAAGTGAGCAAAAAACTAATTTTGTTCCAACCAGATATTGCTAGATGGGATGGAGCAAAATGCTGCTCTCACAGGCCAAGTGAATGATGTTAAATGGGGACCTGCTTTGCCAATGGTGAGTGGGCAGAAGGAAGGCTTCGCACTTGCCTCTATCCTCAGGGGTTGTGCAAGGCAGGAAGAGCACTCTGGGATTTGCAGTGTGCTTTGCTCAAGTTTCTTTCTGGGGGAAACATGTCTTCAACATGGGCCCCAAACATATCACCATACTCACCCTCCTTGAGCATTTTCTTTCTCAATTTCTGCTCCAGTCTGCTTTGATGGTCTTCTAATTCTAGTTCGCGGGCCCTGGGTATGAGAAAACGTTGATACTTTTTAAATACTAGATGTATGTGTAGAAACACTGAATAACAAGCCCATTAATGGTAGCTACTACATTCTTTCTTCCCTTGTAAAAACTGGGGTCTCGGTATTTCCCTAAAATGAAAGTTTTGCTGGTGCTGGGGTTAGCAAAGATGCCTAGGAAGATTGCTGAGATATGCTGAACCCAAGAGATGAGGAGCAGCAGCTGAGGGGGCTGTGATGTGATCTCAGTAGGCTTTAGGAAGGCCACCCAAGCTACCCTTTGGTGGGGCTGGAGGTAGAGAAGAGGGTGAAGAAACAACTACAATAGTCCAGGGGGGAAGCAATGACTATCTGAAACTCTTCTCTCTTTCAAGGATAATATAACTTCAAGTATCATGTCTGACAACTCCCAAATCTCTGACTGTGATAATAAGAGAACAAAAAGGGAACAGGAATAAGAGATTTTGTACAGGTAGAGTACAGGTGGTGGGAAACCTTCAGGCCACAATGCAGTTCTGGTACCTGTGAAAGGAGAGGAAAGGAGAATTGGACAAGAGGAGCCTCAGACTGCAGTGCAGCCCTGAGGAAGTGGTTGCACAGCTGGTTGTCCTGGTGGACAACAATATGTTTGTAGGAGATGTTGAAAGAAGAGTCAATGATGCTTTGGCATAGTCAAGCTTGAGAGCTGGAACTCACTGTCTCCACTGAAAGGAACAGCAAAGTCAAGAAGTGAAGATGGTCCTCATTGAAGGTCAGTTTGGAATTTCTTGAATTAGTGACGCTTGGGGTAACCAAAACCAAACCCGTTGCTGTTGAGTCAATTCTGACTCATAGCGACCTTATAGGACAGAGTAGAACTGCTCCATAAGGTTTCCAAGGAATGGCTGGTGGATTCCAACTGCCAACCTTTTGGCTAGCAGTCAAGCTAACCATAAATGGGTAGATCCCATTTATATCACAGAGTGTACGTAAGTGTGCCATGGGCTGAATCGTGTAGTAATACAGAAGTTCCCAAAACATTTGGGAATGCATCTCTGGAGTTCTTGGGAGAAATGAGGACCACAGATAGCTATGGGAGTTGTCAGAGGTGACAGTTGAAGTCATGTTATCCCTAAAAGGGAGACCATAGAGAAAAAAGAGATTTACAGACAGAACCTTGGGAATGCCTATATTTACAAGTCCAACAAAAGAGGTGGAGCCAGGGAAAAAGCAATCAAAAGGTTGAAAGTAAAATCTAAGAAATGCGGCATCACAGAAACCAAAAGAGGAAAATTTTGAGAGAGAAGAGAGAGGTCGAGAGTGTTCACTGAGGCAGAGACTTCAAAGAGGGTAAGGACTGAAAATAAGTCCCTGGGTTTGACATGGTGCTGCCTTTCCCTTCTGGCCTGTACCTGCAGTTTGCGTGTCTATCTGTTATGAGTATTGGGGTCACTTGGCTATATCCTATTATCGTTATTTTCACTACTTCTGCTACTACTTGGGTCTATGTCCCTATCTTGTTCAATATTCTGCGTTTTGTTGTTGACACTGAACTTCTCTTTGCCCACTGTGGCAGCAAATGGAGGTGTTCCTTTAAGAGAGATCTTTCTGCCAGAATTGTAGTTGGCTGACTGCTACTGTGGAATCTGCCCCTGTGTTCATGCAGAGGCCAAGGTCTCCTCGGTTTGCTCCCAGCCAATGATGGGACACAGCAGAGGTATTAGAGCCAGGCCATTCCTGCCCAACACGGGGCTCCTCTGATAGGCAAACTTTGCTCTGATGCTCCCCATCAACCTGACTGAGACTTTCTCAGGGCTGCACTGCAGTCTGAGACTCCTCCTGCCCAATTCTCCTTCCATCCCTCTTCCCTACCACAGGTAACAGAATTGCACTGTGGTCTGAAGGTTTCACTCTTACTCCCACTCCCTTTCTTACCCTTCACAGGCGCTTCTCCCAGTAAATCTCTTGTATTTCTAATTCTGTCTTGGCATCTGCTTCCCAAAGGATCTGTATTGATACAGCCATCTAAGATATTTCTCCTTGCTCATCCAGGTCCAAACTATGACCTGTCCTTTAACAGAGCTTCCACCTGTCTTTGTCTAGCTCACCTGCCTTTGTCTAGCTCACATGCCAGAGTTCTATTTGGCCTCTTTTGGAGGAGAAGGGTCCCCTGACAGTGTACTAATAGGGACAGCTGCAGTCACTGAACAGCACCAGCAGCCACTGCCGCCTGCCTCCCTGACTCTGTCAGGGAGACCCTAGGCACTGAATGCTCCTTGTACAAACCTCCATGTTTTGTTATTGCACTACGTGTTGGCATCCTGTCTCCTTCTAAGTCCCTCTACCTCTGTCTACCTCTACAGTGCCCCATCATTGGCTCAGAGCAGACTAGGGAGAACATGGCCTCTGCATGAACATTGAGGCAGATTCTTAGAGTTCCTAGAGGATAGAGACCGTGACTTTATTCGTCTTTAGTCCCTTGGTACCCAGCAAAGGGCCTGGCACACAGGATGTTTGGATACATTTTTGTTAAATGAACTTTAAATTTCAGACCTGGCCCAAATGCAGACAGTACAGTTGTATAAAAAGGGCTTTGTCATCAGGTAGACATGGACAAATTAGTTAGTTGCTCTGAGTCTCAGTATATTCATCAACTTAAAAAATAGTAAGAGAAAAAAAATTATCACAGATGAACACTTATTCCCTATTCCTGATGTTCCCTTCCACACTGATGGAGCTCAATTAGTATAACTCTTGGCCTTTTCCCCCAGCCCCAACCTTTATTCACTTCTACCCCTGGATGGGTAAATCTGGGAAGAATAGATTGGGTAAGCTCAGCTCACTCCTCCCTTTCTCCTTCTGAAATCAAACTGCCTGCAGAAAACATGTGTTCTTAACTACATCAGCCTTATCATAGGTCTAGGGCAAGGTTCCTCAACCTTGACACTGTGGACACTGCGGGCTGCATAATTCTTTGTTTAGAGGTGAAGGTGTGCATTGTAGAATATTTAGTAATATCCTTGGCCTCTACTCACTAGACAGCAGTAGCACCCTTCCCTAGTCGTGACAACCAAATATGCCCTGGGTGGCAGAATTGCCCCCAGTTGAGACCATTGGTCCAGGTGAAGGCCCCGCACCTAAGCTGGAAGGCCTGAGTACACTGCCTTTTGTGACTAAGTAGATAAGTCTGTCTAAATCTGGGGTTTGGTTAGTGTAGTGGGTTGAATGGTGACCCCCAAAAAGATATGTCCATGTCCTAACTCCCAGAACCTATGGATGTGACCTTATTTGGAAAAAGGGTCTTTGCAGATATAGCTAAGGACCTTGAGATGAGACCATCCTGCATTTACCTAGTGGGCTCTAAATTCAGTAGCAAATATCCTTATCGGAGACAGAAGGGGAGAAGGCAGAGACACAGAGGAGAAGGCGATGCAAAGAGGAGGCAGCCACAAGCCAAGGACTGCCTGGGGCCACTGGAAGCTGGAAGAGGCAAGGAAGCATTCTCCCTTAGAGCCTTTGGTGGGAGCATGGCCCTGCTCACCCAATGATTTCAGACTCTGGCCTCTAGAACTGTGAGGGAATACATTTCTTTTGTTGTAAGCCACCCAGCTTGTGGTCATGTGTTACAGCGGCTTAGGAAACTAGTACAGTTAGCAAGCCCACTCAGGCTCTCACACTTAGCCAAGCTAGCATTATCAGTAACAAAGGTGATATCTTGATGTTCTTTCTGTTGACTCAGTTGTCTTATTTCCCACCTGGTTCAGAATGCAGGCGGGGAAGAGGGTAGTATTTATTAGACCCCTCTAAAGACCCCTAAAATTACTTCTCAGTGTTGGGATAAAAATGAAATGAGACCACATATGTGGAAGTACCCACCTGGCTGGTCTATGATAAATGTTAGTTGCTTTCCCTCCAGGTTGGCAGCATGTATATTGACCTTCAACTTTTTCAAGTGTGGTCAGATCCATTTGTACTTTCTGATCTGCCTATCGGGCTTCATTTAGAGAGGACAGACAGACAGATCTCAGTCCTTCAGTCCATTAAAGCCACAAGGGAGTGACCAGGCCGATCTTTCACGTGAGCCACATTCAGACACATCCTTTCCCATTGCAGGTGTGTGACTGCTCTTTTGACATGGGCCTGGGGTTAGGTATGGATTAAATACCTTCTCCAAATGTCCTACAGCTCCAGACCCATTACCTGAAATCTATTTTAGCCAAAGGACTCCACAGAGAGAGCAGACAACTGAAGATTCTCTGCACTAATGCTGGCATTATATGCAAGACATAAAATATCAATTTGCCTCAATCACCATTTTGTATGCACAAGGAGAAAAAATCCTGGGACTTCAACCTGTAAGGGTGAGCCGCCCCACTCCTGCCCTTTTGCTTTTAGGACTCACTGTTATCTGTGTTGCCTTACTTACATGATCAGTAGCTCCGACTCATATCGCATTAATTTATTCTTCTCCAGAGCCAGCTTAAACCATTCCTGCAAAAGCTGAGCTTCATCCTGTGTGCCTGAATCTGCTTAAGAAATCAACGGTAAATGGGTTAGATTGGCGTTTCTCTCTCTATGATCAAACTGCTTTGCAGTCACTTTAGCAGGCCATGTTTGTAGCAAGAAGGCTCAGCAGGCAGCAACTGTCTGATGCCCTGTTGATGCCTCCAGGTCGTGGGCATGACAAATAAAGCCCACCTGTGCGTGCTCTGTGGGGCAGTCCTCTTGGACATTTAGGGCATAAATACTCCAGCTCCAAGGGTCAAAATCTTGCTAATGTCCTGCCACAAATGACCTTTCTCCCGCTTGTCTGTCTCCCATAAAACTTTTATGTGTTTATGCATCATATCTTCTGCCACAGAAAACTCTAGCTACCGATTACTGTCCCCTTCTCCTCCTTCTCCTCCCCTGAAACAAATGCCAACTGAGTGCCCAGGTGGTGTATGACTCTTTGTGAGGCAAGGAAGCTCACATCATATTCTGTCATAGAGTAGTGGTGTTCAGCATTTTAATTTTTGCACAAAGAAATGCCAAATGATGAAGGAAAAAAAGCTAATACCTTTAAGTCCCATGGGGGGAAAGCCCAAATCATTTACCAATGAGTCAATTCTAATTCATGGCAACCCCAACTCCTTAGGGTTTTCAATAAGTATGTGACCTTTTGAAAGCAGATCATCAGGCCTTTCTTCTGAGGCGCCTCTAGGTGGGTTTGAGCCGCTGACCTTTCAGTTAGTAGTCGAATGTTTAACAATTTACACTACCCAGGGTCTCCTAAGACTCAGATTATGAACTTTATTAAACAGAAGAATAACCACGAGAATATTGGCACTGCTTTGTAGATGCTAAATATTAGATGCTAAAATGTTAAAATCTGGGCATGTTTAAGAAGTAGCGACATGGAGGTGGCTTTTTAATATTTTACTCTGCAGTGAGAACAAAGGCTGTATTGCAAAGCTTACGGCCATTCAAGAAGGATTTATACTGGAGTGCCTGTAGATAGAGGGGAAACAACACAGACACAGGATCTGTGTGACCTTGGCCAAATTGTTTCACCTCTCTGAGCCTCTGCTTCTTCATCTATTAAACCAGTAACAGTTTAACAGGTAATAATGCAATTCCCTGCCTGTTGAGAGGCTATGTGCTTTAGATGCAGCATCTCATTTAATCCTCACAACAAACTCACCAATAGATACTCTTATTATGCCCACTTGATAACTGAAGAAATTGAGGCTTAAAAGATTAAAGTAACTTTCCCAAGTCCACAGTATGGCAGAGCCAGGACTTGATCAAGTGTGTTAGGGTAAGCCTGAGTCTTCTCTGCTACATATACTACTCTGCTGCCTCCTACCTTCTCCCAGTCCTGTAAGCTAAGTAACGCCCCTATAACATTGCCTTGCACAGAGCAAGTGATCCTGAATAATTAGTTCCCTTTTCTCCTTGTCTGCTTGACCATCTTTTTATTGATAAAGAAACTGGGACCCCGAGAGATGTATCTGCAATGTCTCAAATTATATAGTTAGTGAGCAAACTGGTGCTAAAATGCAGATGTTGACTTCTGGTCCATTCATTCATTCATTCACTCAGTAACACATATGAATACCCGCTATGTGTCAGGTACTGTTTTAAGTACTGGGGATACAGTGACGTAGAATGTTAGCTCTCCCAATCTTCTCTGCTATCCAGATTCAATTTCCTCTCCGAGATATTTGCTTTATATTTCTGAATTGAGGACCATTTTCCTTGACAGTGAAAACAGACAAGTTGAGAGTTGAAAATTCTGCCCTTCCTCGTCTTGTAACACTATACTGTCTGCCACAAGCGCTGGGCCTATCCTCTCCTTATTGGCAATCCAACAGAAACAGCTTTAAAGGCACTGTTTCACTGTCTTTAGAGTTGTTGTTGTTGCTTTTCAGATTCAGACTCTTTGCTGAGTTATAGCCACTGTTCTAGACAGATTTGTATCCTGGATCTCATGTCCTCTTTTCAATCATTCCTACGTGTCCCTCTAAAATCTGATCCATTAGAGGGTTCCCTGTGCTGCCACACTCATTTCGACTGACACTGTACTCAACAAATGCAGGCTGAACTGAATCACTCAATAGAATTTTCTTTTGCAATGGATTAATTTGCAATTTTATAATCTATAGCTCATTTTTTTTAGAGTCTCCCTTTCCTCAGTAGTCAAAGTCGCTTAGGGGGAATCTTTGGACATGGGATCGTGTACAGAATTCTGGGAAATCCAGCTTCCCAAAGTGTTGGGTACAGGGAGACTGTGTCTAGCCCAGCCTTACCATGCTCTGGACTCCAGCAATGCATAGAGACTTTCTTCCATGGTTTCCATCCATTCACTGTCCCCATCTGATAGCTTCCTTGAGGGTCCTGGTGAAGTTGAGACTAGCATTCCTCCTCACTGTAGATGCAGGACAGTGAAGTGGGAAGGCCATGGGCGTTGAGATCAAACAGACCTGGCTCTGTCACTTGCTAACATGTGATCTTGGACGAGTAATCTCAGCTTTCTCCACCTTAGTCTCTTCTTCTGAAAAATGGGGATGATGATAGAACCTACCTCATACATTGGTTATGGGGATTAAATGAGATGATGCATATAAAATGCATCCCACAGTGCTTGGCACCTAGTAAACATTCAATAAATGGTACCATTGTTATAGTTCCTTCCAGTGTCTAGTTCTATAGTTCCTTATGCATTCTCTTCTGTTCACCTTTAAAACTCAGCTAGAGTACAACCCACGATTTGATTATACTTGGCTAAACTTTATCTTGCAAATTAACTTGAGGTTAACAAAATTATTAAATAATTATCCTGGTTTTTGCTCCATGTGAATGAAAAGCTTACGTGGGTGGCTGGATCACCAGCACTTGCTTGAGAAGTCTTGAGTACTATTTGCCTACACAGATTGCTTGCTTAACCCTGTCTCCATCTGGTCCTGGGGCTGTTGTTGTACTGAAAACTCTTCCAGGGCAGGGCTGTGACTTGTAGGTCTGTGGACCAGGACGCAGCTAGAATGGTGCAGCCAGACAGTGAGTAGCTCCCTTGTGTCCACTGCCGACTGGTTCTCCATTTGTTCCTGTGTCCTCGTACCATGCTTTTCCTAGACCAAATGTAAGGCCCCCACTTGCCAAGGTGAAATAAAGTAATCAAAACTCAACACAAAAATTGCCATTAATGGAGTCATTTAAATGGACCCACTGTTGCCAAAGTGATCTCTCAAAAATGAGAAGCAAATTATGTCACTCTCCTACTAAAATTCTTCAATAATATTCCACAGTCAATTTAGCCCCTGCTTACCTTAGAGGGGAGCCCTGGTGGCGCAGTGGTTAAGCATTTGGTTGCTAACCAAAAGGTCAGCAGTTTGAATCCACCAGCCATTCCTTGGAAACCCTGTGGGGCAGTTCTACCCTGTCCTATAGGGTCACTATAAGTCAGAATCAACTCGAAGGCAATGAGTTTGGTTTGGTTTGGTTTTACCTTAGAGTGATTAGCCAATTTAACCTTTAATGGTCAATTTTTTTTTTTCCTGAATGAACAATAACAGGGAACAAATGAACAATCTATTAATTAAAATCATGGTTTTAAAAGCATTTTCTTTTGTAGGTAATGCTGAATGAATACTTCTCAATTGTGTATTGGTGTGTGGTTTTTCCAAGTTGAGTGTTGTTTTACTGTGTGGTTCACAACTGTCTAATTCTTTTGATGTGATTTTCCACTTCTTAGAACCTGTGAGAAGTCCTGCTTCAATGTTCGCTGCAATTTTGTTAATGCACCTGCCATCCTCACTGATGATCTGGGGCATTACAGTAACTGCAGCCAAATCACTCTGGAGCACCATGAAGAGCATCTCCCCCAGACTGGCTGGGTTTCTGGGCCCTGCGTTTTGTTCTCCAGCCTCTGAGAAGCTCTCAGTTCCGGTGCTTATTCATAGGCCAGTTTCATGTAAGTCTCTGGTCAGGCCTTCAGTACCCAGAACTCTGGGAACGGTGGCTTCCAACAGGCTTCTTCCGTATGATGATGATTACCCAGAAAGCCAACCATGGCTCTGACCTGACTGCATCTTGACAAACCCAGGTGCTGGTAGCTAGCTTGTGATTCCATTCTGGAAGCCAGATAAAAATTCTAGTCCTTCCTTTTTAAACTACTTATGTTTTTTGCCACATATCTATTTACCAAAAAC